TGGTAAATTTCGAAGCACGGAGAAGTATCACTTTCTAACACTTAGAAAAAGTATCATTTTCTAAATCTTTAGAAAAAGAATCATCATTCTCATCTGTGTTAGTTAAATGGTTCATTAACCATACGAGGGTATTCTTCCTCTGATAAATAGCGTCTTCGTGCCATAATAGACTGGAGTTGAGACTTCCCGAAATAAAAAGAGAAAAAACGGGAATATATCTCAAGTCAATGCAAAACTGGCTGGGCTGTCTAGTAACCCTAAAAGACTGTATATAGTGGAGGGAAAAACAGAATAAAAAAAGCAATTGGATATAAATCAGACACGCAAATAGCATGCGGCGGTTTAAAAAGCCCACCTCTGTTTACGCTTTCGCTTCCCTCCCCCACCCTCGCAACAGTTGATGAGTAAAATACCAAAGTCAGACAGAATATATCAAACTCAAGGTCAGGAACCTAAAACTGTGTTCATTTCAAAAGTAATGGACATAGAATGTCATCTAGTGGCTTCAGAAAAATGTTCCAGCTTAAAATGCGTATACACATCACCTGTGCTCTGAATGCAGTCTCTAGCGATGCGTGGATGGGACGCCCGGCTGTAAGAGACGTTCTTAGGGAATGCATATATGGGACGCCCGGCTGTAAGAGACGTTCTTAGGGAATGCATATATGGGACGCCCGGCTGTAAGAGACGTTCTTAGGGAATGCATATATGGGACGCCCATCCTGAAAAGGTTAAAGCTGGAGACAGCTCAGTTGTTTAGTTAGCTGCTGTTGTTATTGCAACTTCAGCACAAGATTGGGTTAGCTTTCTCTTTAAATGTGCTATGCATTGCATTGTATTTAATGTTTTTAGTAGTTTGAAGTATAACTACTGATTATTACTGCATGATAAATATCCCATTGTACAAATAGTATCTCTCTAGTGTTCTGTTATATTTCTTTTGATAAGAATAAATACAGTCAAAAGTCATTAATCCGGACTCGTCTGGACTTCGGCGATTCCGGATTATAGATCATCAGTTTAAATCTCGTAAGATGGCTTGCAGAAATTCTAAAATTAAAAATATGAAACCGTAATTTATGAAATAAAGAACAATTATGATCTAAAAGGTATCAAAATTTACAAAAAAAAAAAAAAAAAAAAGAGCTTAATATTTATTTGTTTACTTTATTAAACATTTCTTTCAATGTAAGTTGTTTAAGTTGCTTCGTTTTATGTGATAATACTTTCTCTTTAATTCTATAAACAGACATAATTTCTCGTTCAGTTACAAAGTTCCGCTGTTCAAGTCCGTTAATTGCTGTGTGCCGAGAATACCGACTAACTTGTCAATCGAAATTTTTTCGTTTTCACTAACCTCTCTGTCACATTCTTCATGTCTTTATCCATTTTTTGCAGCAATTCCACTTTTTGTTTGTTGGACATCGAAACATACTTTCGTTTTGTAGATCCTTTGGAAGTTCCAGCATCGGAAATTCTATTTGACATAATTGAAAGTTCAAGTTTACTTTTATAAAATTGCTCTTACAGTCTGCAAAAAATAATAAGCGGGATCCAATTCGAAGATTAAGGAACAACACAATCATTAACATTAACTGAAATAGATAATTAGATAATTTTAGCTTACACCGTCCGTTATGCATTAAACGCGCAGGCGAAAACGTATTCTGCACTTGCGCACACGCATATGCGCAGTAGTCAAGGTCTTACGCGCACGCGTAAAACGCCTGTGCGCATGTGCCAACGCGGCACATGCACAGAAAGTTTTTAGCTTTGAGGTCCGGATTATAGATCATTCCGGATTATGGGTGTCCGAATTAACAACTTTTGACTGTATTAACTTTTTATCAGACCTCTGCATTCATCTCTTATGAACCCATATGCAGGCATCAATACAAATATATAAATGGGCAAAACTAAACACAATGTAATCAAACAATTAATTACAGATGATGATCAGCATATTATCTTAGATTATTAAAAAGTAATTTTCTGTCTTCTTAAATCTGTGCTCTTTAAACACATTAAAAGTAAACAGGGAAAAATTTCCATACTAAATGATTCATTTCCCATCCACCCTATTTTATGAATAAATCAGTCTAAATAGCACATGCAGGTTTGTGCTCATGATCACCACTGTAGTCGTTAAACTATGTCAAGTGCTCGCAGGCAGTTTTCGTGACACCTTTTTGAAAGATTCCCAAACTATCAGTACTTGTTGTAAGTTGGCTGCATCATCAGTATATTGAAATGACACAAACCTTAACAATTTGAAATACAAATTTCAGTAATTAAATAAGAATGATATGATACATTGAAAAATAAAACACATTTTCATGAAATTCTGAAATTTTTTGTGCTGTTCTTTTCTTCAAGCAATTTGTCTTTGCCTGAACAAAGATCAGAGAATTGCACAAATGTGCCGTTGTTCATCCGTGATCTACCAAGCCATCAGAGCATTGTTTGTTCCCTTTACCAATTTTGTGGCAAAATACTGTTTGAGGGCTGTCTGAAAAGTTTCCAACCTCAGTAATATGTAGTGTCAACTGAACTGTCTCAAATCAACTGGAGTGGGGGGAACTTGTTTGGCCATCCGTTGATAACTACCAACCAAAATTTCAGCTACTTTGAAAGCGAATTTTTGGTTTGACAATTACTTTTGTGAGTTTATGTGACCGTTTTTGTAAAAATGGAAAACGTTGAGTATCGTGCTGTTGCTAGATATCTGTTTTTGAAATAATCCTGTTCAGTTTAAAGAAGAGTTGAACACAGTGTACATGGACTCTGCACCATCATTTACTACTGTGAAATTTTGGGCAGCTGAATTTAAACGTGGTTGTACCAGCTAGGATGACAATGAAGTTCAAAAGGGTCAAAACCTGCAACCACTGATGAAAACATTGCTAAACTCCACCAGATGGTGCTGGACAACCATCGAATCAAGGTTAGATATAGCAGATGCTATTAGCTTGTGCAAAGAATGTGTTTGCCATATATTGAACCAAGATTTATTTACACACAAGCTGGCTGCACATTGGGTGCCGCGTTTGCTCACTTTGGACTGAAAATGTGACCAAATGAACATTTGCACCATTCTGTTGGTGCAATAAAGGAGTTTTTTCATTTATGAATCACTGTAGATGAAACATGGATTCATCGTTACTGCCCAGAAACAAAAACACAATCAAAACAGTGATCTGCAAAGGGAGAATCGGCTCCAAAAATTGCAAAAACTGTACCCTTTGTTGGGAAAGTTATGGCAAAAGTTTTCTGCAGAAGCGATGTGATTGTCTTAAGAGATTATCATGAAAGGGAAAACCATTACCGGAGTATACTCTGCAATGTTACTTGACAAACTGAAAGCAGAAAATGCCAAAAAACAACCACATTTGCAAAAGAAAATTATTTTTTTTCACCAAGGGAATGCTGCATATCACACCTCGGCGGTTGCAATGACGAAGATCCATGGAATTACAATTTGAACTGTTCGAGCACCCACCCTATTCGCCAGACCTGGCACCAATTAACTTTTGTTCCCTAAGCTAAAAGAAGCACTTGGAGGACAAAAAAAAATTGTCAAATGAGGAGACTCTACAGAGAAAGATTCCACATATTATTTGGGTGGGTTAAAAGGATGGGAGAATTGCTGGAAGAAATGTGTAGACTAAGAAGGAGATTATGTCGAAAAATAAAGGTAATTTTAGAGAACAAATATATTTTTTTGGTAGGTTGGAAACTTTTCAGACAGCCCTGGTATGCCTGCCAAAATGTTACCGCAGTTTCTTTCATTGCTGGCAAATTCCACAAGTGTATATTTGAAAATTGAGTTAAAAAAAAAAAAAAAAGTGTTACGATTTGTTTATAAAAAGTATTGGAGTTTGGAATAGAAGAAAAAGAACGAATACAAAAAGGAAAAGGCACTAGCTGTTATGAGCACGAAGAATGGTTATGTGCATAGTTGCCAAAGTTTGATGCATTCTTCTTTCTTCTTTTTTTTTTTTTTTTTTTAATATTGGGTAACTTCTCAACTGAGGTTTTGATAGTAAGTACTGTGTTTTATTATGGGTGTATCTTGCCTTTAAGTTTTATTGATTTATTGCTCTGTATGGAATTGTCAAACCAGCCCCGACTGGCTTTAAACGAGTCTTCCGATTCCTCGATTGTGGAAGTGTGTGGGATCTGCTTCAGCAAATCGCCGTAAATCGCTCGTGCCTTTCTCACATATGATGCTTTGTGTTAAGGTTCCTTCCTTGAAGCTGCTTCTCTCTCACTCACACCATCAGTAGTTTCTCCATGTCTTGACGGAGAGAGGTCGGAGCTTAAAAATTATTGTAACGCCCTTAGTTGGCGTTATACTTTATCAACTCCTTTTGTTCAAGCACAGTAAATATCATTGATGTGTTACGCCCGTACATCCTCCCCAAGTCAATTACTCGCACACCTTGCTCATGGTTTTCTATTATTTAACGCTTTAATTCAATAGACATCATCTTCTTTGGACCCAGGGTTATAAAAATAAATATGATAATGTTTTCTAAATGTACAAAAAGCAAAAAACGCGAACCCAACTTATCAAAAATGCTTCCAAAACGAGGGAAACAAGCACTCAGACTGAGGACTAGTCTGAGGTGGGAGAAACTGTTAGACGCTGCACACGACACCAACATGCGCGCGCATGTTGCGGTCGTGTACAGCGGTGTAGTGTGCGATTCCTCGTATCTCAAATCTTGCTCTCGTCTCAAAGCAAAACATCGCTCGCTCGGTAGCTCCGTATCTTAAAACACTCGTGTATTGAGGCACTTGTATATCGAGGTACCACTGCATATGACACATATACAACTCTATGATACCTTTGGCTGCTAATGTAATGCAGATCTATCTCGAAAGGGTTAAACAGAGGTTTTTTTTAGTGTATTTCATACTTTTCATTAAAATATATGCATTTTTTCATGTCCGACATTTTATCTAATTATATGAATATGATTTTAATATTGATATAGGATATTTCTGATACTGATGATGATAGTGACCGCAAAGAAGGTAATGACTCTTATAATGTTACAAATGGTTCAGGTTTAAAAGAGAAAAAAACAGTTTCTTCTGTTGATGATTCGGATATATCTGATGAAGATTTCTTTGGTGATCAGGTAAACGTTACTTTTTTATTCTCTTTAAAATAACTAAGGCTTGAGGAGTGAAGTATATGTGCTAGACATTAAAAACAAAGTTGTCAGTAATGTGAGTTATTAAAGAATATTCAAAAGAGTAAAATATTTACTGTAACTAAATTTATTCCATTTCACTGCATTTTTAATATTTACATAAAATTTATGAATATTGGATTTATTATACTGATCAACTGCAATACAAAATTTCTCCTGTTTTGGAAGTTAAGCCTATTTTTACATTTTTGGATGTTGATTTCAGAAGTATCCTTGGTTTATTTTTATCAGCTTTAGCTGTGGGAATATGGTATGGCAATCTTAGATGTGCTTATATGTTTTCATTACCCTAAACAGAGTTTGAATTGTGTTTTTTTACACAGAGACAAAAAATTAGGTTCATTTGTATTAGTCATTCTATCAACACAAAAGAAATGTAAGAGATAGTTTAATATAATTCCAAAAAATGATCAGGTATCAGAAAACATCATTGGCAGCTTGAGTTGATTGAAAAAAGCTATGAGTTTTTTTCACAAAGTGGAAATATAAATGCTTTTTATAGGTTTAAGACAGCAGAGTAGAAAAAGAGCAGTGGATTTTAAGAGTGCCCCTTGAAAAATAAGTTTGTGGGTACTCTTCTGTTATGGAGACCTGAGTAAGAAATGAGTGTATGTATTTTATGAATGAATATATGAGTAAGAAATGAATGCCTGTGTATATGTATATGCATATATTTTTGGATATATAAAAGCACATATTTGTATACTGCACAAAAAAAAAGGGGGGGGATAGTTCTGTATCTCTCATCCTACTGAGCCAATCAACGAAATTCAAATTGGGTTTTTCATGTCTCGAAAGCGTGACTTAGGATATGTATTAGATTTATATACAGCATTGTTCTAATATAAGTATTTCTGACACAAAATTGGACTTTTTCTGAAATGATATAAAATTTTTATCCATATTTCGATTGTACGACTCAAATTACGCCAAATTGCCAAGTTTTGTAAAAATCGCACAAGTAGTTTTTAAAAAATTAGAAAAAATCGCACAAGTAGTTTTTAAAAAATTAGATGTCAAAATTTTACCTTCTCAATGTCAATTGAGTGTGGTATATACAGTACAAACTCAATGTTAATTGAGTGTAGTATATATATATATATATACAGCACAAAGTCTTTAATCTGGACTCGTCGGGACTTTGGCGATTCCGGATTAGGGGTTTTTCCGGATTATAGATCATCAATTAAAATATGGTAAGATGGCATGCAGAAATTATAAAATTAACCCTTTAACTGTCAAGTTATTTTGATGATTTGGGTACACAAATTGTCAAATTTTTTTATTGCAAAAATCAAATGTTTAGTACAAAATAAAATATACTTAAGCAGTTAAAAATTGATATTTTGAAGTACATGGGTAAAATTTTTAAAGTTTTGTAGCCACTGCATATTTGCTTGAGGCGACTGGCACTCACATGGCAGTTGTAAAGTTCGCTTCTAGTGGAGCATTATTTTCTAAAGATGAAAAAAATTAATTATTTTCTAAAAAATAAATAAATATAAGTGAATACCTATTAGTAGTTCAATAATTCAGTCTTGTGTGGTACAACTGGAATCACTTTTCCAAGCACAAACCAATTCCACAATCACTACACCAGAATCATGATTCCTTCCTTATCTTTTCCCCATTTTTATCCTTTTTCAAACAATGCACTTTTGCACTGTCTTGTAGGCTCACGTTTCACAGGAGTAAGAGGAATATGGGATATAAAATGTCGTTGAGTAAGACAGGCAGAGGGTTATCTATTGTAGCTGGTCTGCCAACATTTTTTTGTCCAGAAGCTGCATCATCATATTTATGTAAAAGCTGTTCTATAACTTGGATTCAAAATTCTAAAAATGTAATACGTTTCCCAACTACATTTTTATAGAGCAAATATGAGTTCCAGAGTACCTTGTCTGTAAATGTAAAAATATCTTTTTATAATATTTTTTCTGACGTTTTTGGATTGTTGGATGAAAGGATATTTCCTGATCACAGCGATCTACACCACCCATAGTTAGACTGTAATTAGAAACAATCTTCGACTTGAGTATATCTTCATTTTTTATTTGTTTTTTATTTTTGAGGCTGACCATGGAAGTATCATGAAATACTGCTCATCAAACACACATCCTTCATCTTCAGTTGAAGAATCTAAATCATCTATATAACATTTCAAGAAACTGAAGACGCCATTTTACAACAAAAAGATCCCATGCACTTTGAACCAAAGTACTTATAAACCTCTAACCTTTGAAATCTTCAGTTAAAGTGGTGTCATCTATTGAACTAAGCGCACATTAACTTTTCCTGAGATACAGTCGGGTTTGACAAAGAGATAAAGCCGAAATAAACGTCTCCCGATATATATTTGGGTATAACAATACGATGCACTCAAAAAAAAAAAAAAAAATTTACCCCGAGTAATACTCGGGCGTGACATTTTCGAACACCAGTGCTCTCGGGCATGACAGTTAAAAGGTTAAGAATATGAAACCGTAATTTATGAAATAAAGAGCAATTATGATCTAAAGGGTATTAAAATTTACAAAAAAAAAAAAGCTTAATATTTATTTGTTTACTTTATTAAACATTTCTTTCAATGTAAGTTGTTTAAGTTCCTTCATTTTATGTGCTAATACTTTCTCTTTAATTCTATAAACAGACATAATTTCTATAAACTATAAACAGACATAATTTCTTGTTCAGTTACAAAGTTCCGCTGTTCAAGTCCTGTAATTGTTGTGCCGAGAATACCGACTAACTTGTCAATCGAAATTTTTTCATTTTCACTAACCTCTCTGTCACTTTCTTCATGCCTTTATCCATTTTTTGCAGCAATTCCACTTTTTGTTTGATGAACATTAAAACATGCTTTCGCTTTGTAGATCCTTTGACAGCTCCAGGATCAGAAACTTTTTTTGACATAATTGAAAGATCAAGCTTACTTTTTATAAAATTGCTCTAACAGTCTACAAAAAATCATAAGCCGAATCCAATTAGAAGATTAAGGAACAGCGCAATCTGCAACATTAACTGAAAAAGATAATTAGATAATTTTAGCCTAGCTTATACTATCTGTTTTACATTAAACGTGCATGCGTAAACGCATATGTGCATGTGTAAAGGTAATATGCGTAAACGCTACATATGTGCAGGAAGTTTGTAGCTTTGAGGTAGATGGCTTTGAACGTGCAAAAAAGTTCTAGAGGGCTGTGTGCTGAACGTATATAATTAATAAAATGTTTTAATTCTTAGGGAGAGTGAGGAAGTGTGGTCATGTAGTGAAAGGGAATCTTACAAAAATTAATGTAACCTCAACAATTATGTAAATATATTGTATATAGTCTTAAAATATTAGAAGTATTAAATGTATTCATAAAATATTAGAAAATAATTATTGTGTTTATTCTAATCCAACATGACATGAAGAACCACTTATGTAATAGTGGTTCCTCAAATTATTCTCATATATCAGGGTTCGTACGGTCCTTAAAAGTCCTTAATTTTTTCAAAAATGATTTTTGGGCCTTAAAAGTCCTTAATTTTGGCCAAAATGAATAAACGGTCCTTAATTTTACTCATTTGACATTTCTTATCATTTCTAATGATTGCCATTCTAAGTGTGAATTACAATTTCTCATGAATATGGAAATTAAAATTACACGGCTCTTAACCAATCTGTTGGCGGATTTGCGTTGCAAACGATAAAAAATAAAAAAAAAAAAAAAAAACAATTAGTTACCCTAGAATGAAAGTATCGGGTGTCTGATTGGCTATTCACCCAATCTTTCGAAACAGGTGTTATCCATAAATTTAGGCAGATTGTGACGAAAGCGTGAAGCCGACATCGGCCATGCATGGACCTTATAAGAAATAGACTAACCCAGTGGGCGGGGCGTGCGTCACACACATGTCGGGAAGAGAGAGTAGAGACGATTTTAGTTTATCGTAACATTGAAACATATGGCGTTTGTATCACATAACTCTTTTTAATTATTAAATGTGACACGTTGTATAAATGATGAGATAATAAAAATCACAGTTTTTGCTATAAGATTTTATATATCTCATGAAACCACTTTTTAGTGCATTTTGAGCATAAGCGTAATTCTTGTCTAAACATCATTACTTGATAAAACGGTAAAAACTCTAAACAAAAAATTTATGAATATACTTTTGCCTACAAATAAAGTAAAATTAAGTAAGATTGATAGTACATGATGCTATGAAACAAATAAGGTAAAATTAAACAAGATTTGGTAATTTTTTAAATTTTATGAACATTTTCAGGCAGTAGTAGCAAATATTTATCATTTCAAATGTTTATAGAAACCAAGGATTGTTTTATTTATTTTTTCTGTTTTCAAAATTATTATGGTATTAAAAGATGATCATTTATGACAATATTAATAACTCATAAAATTTGGAGCATAAACTTTTCTGAGTGTAATGAAAAATAAAAAAAAAAAAAAAAAATTCGCAGTAAATAAAAAAATCTTATGCGGAACTAGAAATAAATTAAAAAATAATTACTATAAAATACAAGATATTATATGTCCAATCTTAAATTCTTATTAATGCGCCTAAAGTAACCTTGTAATTTTATATACCTGTAAATACTTTAAGCAGAATGATATACATCCATAAATACATATGTATGAAAGTAAACAATTTAGGATATTTGTTGCATTGAAAAATTCGCTTACTTCACTTTTTATTTCAAATATTTGTGAAAACAAGATTATATCTATTTATCTATTAATGTAAATACACACACCTATATATATATATTTAGAAAGAGAGAGAGGAAGAGAAACAGATAATATGGTTTATTGATGCTTAAATAAAATTAATTTAGTAAATCTGCTTCAATATTTTCTCTCTGTTTAGATTCATTGTAACATGCAACTGCATGATGCATTCTGATTTTTAAATAT